ACAATTATAAACGCAACACTTTTGTTTTTCATGAGCTGAACTCAAAGATCTAAGACTTTTTCTATGTACACAAAAGGCCTATTTCTCTCAAATATTGTTCACAAATCTGTCTAAATCTGTGTTAGTGAGCACTTCTCCTTTGCCGAGATAATCCATCCACCTCACATGTGTGGCATATCAAGATGCTGATTATACAGCATGATTATTGCACAGGTGTGCCTTAGGCTAGCCACAATAAAAGGCCACTCTAAAATGTGCAGTTTTATCACACAGCACAATGCCACAGATGTCGCAAGTTTTGAGGGAGCGTGCAATTGTCATGCTGACTGCAGGAATGTCCACCAGAGCTGTTGCCCGTGAATTGAATGTTCATTTCTATACCATAAGCCGTCTCCAAAGGCGTTTCAGAGAATTTGGCAGTACATCCAACCGGCCTCACAACCGCAGACCACGTGTAACCACATCAGCCCAGGACCTCCACATCCAGCATCTTCACCTCCAAGATCGTCTGAGACCAGCCACCCGCACAGCTGCTGCAACAATCGGTTTGCATAACCAAAGAATTTCTGCACAAACTGTCAGAAACCATCTCAGGGAAGCTCATCTGCACGCTCGTCGTCCATGGATGGCAGAGGATCCCCAAATCCAGGTGTGCAAAACTTGTTGCATCTTTCCCAAAAAGACTCATGGCTGTATTAGTTCAAAAGGGTGCTTCTACTAAATACTGAGCAAAGGGTCTGAATACTTAGGACCATGTGATATTTCAGTTTTTCTTTTTTAATAAATCTGCAAAAATGTCAACAATTCTGTGTTTTTCTGTCAATATGGGGTGCTGTGTGTACATTATTGAGGAAAAAAAATGAACTTAAATGATTTTAGCAAATGGCTGCAATATAACAAAGAGTGAAAAATTTAAGGGGGTCTGAATACTTTCCGTACCCACTGTATATATATATATATACATATATATAGACACACATTTAATTTATTGAATATTAAATTGTGCATGATAATTTCCACTGATTTTACATTTACATTACTACTGTCATCAATTAACTATTAATTTAAATTTAATTGATTTGATGTTTTGATACTACACATTGTAATGATAGATGGAAATATGTATCACTCACCAGTAGGTTCTGCAAGACACTTGCAGTCCTAATCTTACCTGATATTGCCTGTACAGCTACTCTGAGGAAACCTTTGACCTCTCCCTTCTCATTGACAATGGCAACCCGATGGACCAAGGGCACAGGATAGAGCAGATTACTCAAATACACAAATGCCCTAAAGGAGAGAGGGAAGAACAAAATGTGTGTCCAAGGGATTGACTGTACAGCAAACAGGACAAACACAACACTGAGCAACATACAGACACAAGCAGGCACTGCTGAGGCCCTGGACATGATTATTCCTCACAGATCAGGCTACATGATATAAAACAGGTAGGTGCGAGTATTTTTAACTGATTTTGGGTGAGTTTAAGAAGCATGGGATTGAAGTGAAGATAAACCCTAAAAACAATACAGAAAAGAAATCTGAGACCACATTTTAAAAATTGGGAATTACTTTTCATTGAAAACTATATAATAAACAAAGGTTAAGGATTTTGAAAAACATAATACACACTATGGCTAAAGTTTTTTTTGTTTGTTTGTTTTAAAGAAATTAATATTTGTATTCGGCAAGGATACATTAAATTCATCATATGTAAAATGTATGATATTGCAAAAAATTTCTATTTCAAATCAATTATTTTGATTATGAAAAAATTTTATCATGGTTTCCACAAAAATAGTAAGAAGCACAACTGTTTTCAACATTGATAATAATAATAATAATAATGCATATTTCTTAAACACATCAACATGTTAGAATGATTTCTGAAGGATCATGATACACAGAAGTCTGGAGTAATTGCTGCTGAAAATTCAGCTTTGCCATCACAGGAATAAATTACAATTTAAAATATATTCAAACAGAAAATATTTCAAATTCTAATAATATTTTACAATATAACTGTTTTACTGTATTTTACATCAAATAAATGCAGCATTGGTGAACATAAGTTCTTTCAAAAACAATAAAATATATTTTTAACAGTAATGTAAATAAAGAAATGCTTAAGATTTCATACTATTTCTACTGCAAGTAACACTGAACAAAAAGTACACTTTGAACAAAAGGTCCCGTTTTCTTGCTTCCACACAAGACGTTTTGGAACAAAACATGCTAAAAATAATGTTAATTTCTCAATTCAGCCTTTCACTCAAATTAATGTACTGATAACATTATTTGTAAATGTGTAAAGCAAAAAAAGTAAAGCATTTTGACTAGTGATCTCACATTTTTGAACTTCACTATATGTGTCAAATGTACAATATATTATATGGAGTGACTCGTGTTTTTGTGTGAATGATTGTGGGGAATTTGGATAATCCTGATATCCTTGATCAGAACCAGAAATAGGACTGTTTATATGTTTATTTAAAAACCAAAGATAGCCATTTAATAATTTTTTTTAAAAGATATATAGTTGATATTGATAATTAACAGTTTTAAATCTCAACCCTAACTCTGTTTGTTCTTAATCCATCTTCCGTCAAGGACTACATTGCCCATCCTCCATGTGTAGACAATGAATGATACGGTAGTGCTGAACAAAAAAGGGGTTTTGGTGAGGTATAAAAAAGCATGCTTGTGACAAAAAAGGTGAAAGAGAAGACATAAAATGTAACAGTACTGGACAATGTGAGCGTGAACAGACAATACCATTAGCAAATACCAAAAAATAGGTAAATAAGACCATACTGTCACAAATGAGCAGTGCATTGCACAAGCGCAACTTAAAAGAGTGAGCCAATTCATCAAAGGTTTCCATGTAAAATCTCACAAAAAAGGTTGAAATACGGCATATGATCTCACATGCCCAGAAGAGAGACAGCTGTGCTAGAAACCAGCTCTTTCATCTTGAGATATGTGAACACTCGAAGTAACCAAACGGCTGTAATACGGGAACCAATTAGTAAGTCATTAGATGAATAGCTATTTTCTCATTCATCAGACATTCGTGCCATGTAACCAAAATCTGGTCTTGTTTGTTTCTGCGGTACACAAAACAAACATCTAATATGAGTGTTTGGAGATAGCACTTCAAAGCTGACGGACCCCTTTGAAGAAGTGATGCGGTGCATGTAAAGCTGGGACACAGACCTTGGCGTGACACGAGAGCCATAGCTGCGCTGGGTGGTGCCGCTGACATCCAGCCAATTCTGATTTCAATGATCACAATCATTAGGTCAAAATGAAACCCAGAAGCTCAAGGTGTGTGTCTGCAGCGATCAGATGAAAGTCAAATGTATGATAATGGGAGAAGACGGGGTAAAGTCCAGACATGCTGACTAAAATCCAGGAATCCTTCCCATGGGAAAGACAAAATCACATAAGAGATATTTTTAATATCGTAGAGGTTTCTCCTAAAGCAATGAGATGAAAATCAAGTGGAGACTTACTCCTCAGATTTTTCTTCTGAACTAAAGACCTTTATAATCTCACATGTCTCCTCAAGAGATTTCAGCAACGTCACAAACAGATTTACCAGAAGGGTCATTGACAAATAAGAGCAGCCAAGGTAAATAAAAGTAAAGTCTTTTTTTTTAAATTGTTTAAAACACATGTGCTCTCAATGCTTAGAAATGTACTCAAGTTGCTTTCATATGATGACATCTGGTGTAACCATCAAATAAAAAGTGTGCACATCTTAAAAATTATTTTCAAAACAAGTTTTCCAATATATATATTTTTTGAGGTTGAAATATTTTTGGACATATATCATGAATTATTAATTCACAAATATCATGGATTTTTTTCGCATCATGTGTCAACCTGAACAAACCCATTACAACTTGAAATAACTTTAACTCATTATACAGTAAATACGTCAAATTACTTTATATTTTAATAGACTTAACACACAGTCATGAGGGTCTGCAGGGGTCCTCTCTATGATATCATTTCCTGTTTTATTTCTGCATATTGATCACACCACGTGACTTTAATTTGACAAACAATGTTTTTTAAAATATTTCAAAATATTATGTCAAACTACCTTGGATTTTATTATAGTTTTATAATTTATATTTATAATATTATATTTATTATATTTTTAGATTTTCTTTTCTGAGTACATTTTTATTCACGTCATTGACCAAACACCAAAATCAACAGTCAGAGAGAAAAAAAGCCCTCAATAAATTTAACATTTTCCCTTGTCCATTTATTTCATAGCTCTGTATTTATTGGTACTGGAGGTCAACAACAGTCTCAATTGTGTCTACTTTACACTTCTTTATCTTAAAGTTCACCCAGAAGAGATGAACAGACTCAGACTCAGAGAACAGAGTAATTTTAAATTCAATTTATTCTCATTGTGTGTGTGCCTCTGTGTGTGTGTGTATACACTATTATCCTTTATGCATATGTCTAGCATACACCTTTTTCAGGTATGTGTTTGTATAAATATAAGCGTTGTCATTAAATAACCAAAAATGTTTCAAGTTTAAGTGTTTATATATTTATCTCTGTGAGTGCTGTGCACACACAATGTGTTTAAAAAAGGAAGCGCAACCCAGTCTCAGTGTGAAAGAGCTAGTTTCCTTTCCCAGCACGCTCCTGAAACCTCACCAACCTTCCCACTACACTGAACAATGGCGAGCGATCGTAAAACGGGTCCTCAGTTTTGCCGGAGCTTCTGCAGAGCTCTTCCTCATCATCATCATCATCCTCATCCTCCCCCTCCTCCTCCTCAATATCCGAGCATGGGTCATCCGATAAGAAATCATCGTCCAAGTCATCCAGCTCTGTCCCCAATCTCTTGTTAGGCCATGACTGGACCAGCTCAGTGATTTCAGAGGTTGATGTGGGCTCAGAGGGGGTGGGGGAGGAGTTTGGGTTGCTCGCTTGCTCACTAAGGCATGTGGAGAAAAGGGGGTTTCTGGTGTAGCCAAAGACACGGGAGCCCAGTTAGTATGAGGGGCCATCTGTCTATTTAACTATTTCTACTCGCAAGTGGGTAAGTAAACACTTTTAATCGGGCAACAAAGTAGCTGGGTCATGGGGATACAAGACATACACAACCTAAAAAACACTCATCAGTAATGTGAATAGCGGCCTATGAGGATTCTTTAAGAATGTCCAATATTACACTACCTTTCAAATGTTTGGGGTCAGAAAGATTAAAAAAATGATATTTATATATATATATATATACATACATATATATATTTATATATATATATATATATATATATATATATATATATATATATATATATATATATATATATATATATATATATATATATTCAGCAAATTGATGATAAGAGACAGTAAAGACATTTATATTACGGTCACCGACGATCACCGACTGGAGTGCCCTGGTTGTCCACTAGAGGGCACTCAATCCCAGACTTCTGCCACTTCATTCCCATTAATTCTATGCCCGGACTCATCAGCACTCATTGTTTGCACCTGTGTCTCATTAGCATGGTTAGCTCAAGTCCGGTCATTCTTTGCCAGGTCTTGTATGTGACTTTACTGCAATTCTAAGCCTTGTATCGTGGTTATCCTGTATCTTGGTTCCTGGGGTGCTTCTCAATTCTTATTTGTGCATCCTCGTTTCCTTTCCTCGCATCTTAGCTCCACCCCTTCAGGATGTGAGGGAAGGATGCAAGGAAAAGACGCGAGGGTGGAGGAATTGAATCAAGTTAAATGATATATCCTCGCTCCCTTTAGCGTCACTTCAAAGCATCATCAGCTGCGCTAAAGGGATCTGCCCTTATGTTGTTAAAGTTTGTTATTTAAGACATTCATAATAAATATGAATAAAGCAAGATGCCTTGTTTGAAATATATGACATGTATGGTTTATTTAAACTGCAAAGACAACAGATGTGAAGGGGGAGGAGAATTCATACATGCATCAGGTTTTTCGATGAAAAACACTTCCGCAAAGGATACACCTCTGGAAGCCTCCTCAATCCTCGCCTCCTCGCAGTGCAATTAGAGAATTGAGATGTCCTTCAAGCTGGCTGAACTCTATCGGTTTCTGGGTCATAGGATGGAGGACGGAGGAGCGAGGAAACGAGGAGGGATATTGAGAAGCACCCCTGGTCTTGTTATTCTGCCTGTTTTCTAGATTACTCTGTTTGCCTCAGCCCCTTACTCTGTCATTGTTTTGGATTGCCTATTTGTTGTATGACCTTTGCCTTCTTTTGGATTACGTTTGTGGATTTCCCCTTCAATAAACTACTGCATTTGGATCCTCTACCTTCGTGTCCCCGTGCAGATTATGACAATTGCAAAGTATTTCTATTTTCAAAAAGAAAGCTGTTCTTTTGAATTTTGTATTTATCAAACAATCCTAAAAAAACATTGCATCATGGTTTCCACAAAATATATTAAGCAGCACAACTGTTTTTAACATTGAGACATTTTTTCAAAAACATAAAAACAAACATACCAACCCCAAATCTTTAAAAGATAGTGTACATTTTATACTGTAGGCATAGTTCGCTCAAAATTTCTAAATTGTCATAACTTACTAAAATAATAACCATGTCGTTTAAAACCTGTTTTCTTTTTGGAACACAAAAGGTTGAATTTTTGAAAAATACTTACAAAATACTAAAAATCTCAGCCAATATGTTAAATATAAGGAAAGTGAATAAGGATGGGGGCTGACAAGCTCCACAACGACAAAAAACAAAAACATTAAAATAAAGGCATTTTATTCACTTAAAGTCTTCTGACATCATACAATAGCTTTGTGTGAGGAACAGATCAAAATCTTGATCAAAAAAGTTATTCACTGAAAAGTTCACACACCCTAGCTCTACTTGGTGTATTCAAGAGAGAAGAAGTGATGACTGATTCTTGAAGCATATATTTTTAATGAATCTATTGATGCAGTTCACAAAAGCAGTCTGAATGATCATGCAAAATCACAAATTTAACTGATCCAGTTCTTGAGTTCACCTCCCTAAGCCACTGATCCAGTTGCAGCAGTTAACAGCTCACTTAAAATAAAAATGATCAGTGAATAACCATTCAAATCTGTTTGTCACACAAAGCTATCATACATCTCAGAGATATATCTCCAGTTCGCACTTCTCGTAATTGCATGGAAAAGAGCAAATTACTCTTTTCGAGTTCCACAGAAGAAAGTCAGTACTCAGTAATATGGTTTTGGAACAACATGAGGGTGAGAATTTTTTGTGTGTGTGTGAACTAATCTTTTAAGATATAGTAAAGGCAAGATTAAGAGCAAGTCATACAGCTCTGAAGTAGACAGGGTAAAGGGAAGCGTGTGACCTAATTTGAAAGTGCATGGAAAATCGATTTCATGCTCTTCTGAATAAAGCAGCATCAAAAATCTTGCACTCTTTAAAAGCGTGTGGGCAATAACTCTGGACTTATTCCTCAGAGGAATAAGCAATATTACATATATCCTGTAGAGATCAGCTTTAACAACAGCTTTTATTACATTTTCTCTTTCCAGCAGTTGTTCTGGCCTGCAAGATACTCTACTATTATGTTTTGCATAAGAGAAATTAATTCACTTTCAATGGGCCATTCGAACAAAAGCATAGTTTGAGGAGAAATCTGACAGGAATGTTGTTGATCATGTGGTCTTTATCTGACAGTAGTCAGAGAGTGCAGGGGCATTCTGTACTGCTCACCAGCTGGTCTGTCTAGCCATGCTCTGATGTAATCTTACAACTCACCTTCCAACCAGACGGAACCAGGGAAAGCGGTCGTAGAATGGATCGCCTCCAGTCAGCACACTGTCACAGTCCTCAAGAGCACTGCCAGGCACCTCAGCAGCACGATCATACATCTCTCTCATCAGATTCAGCCTCTGCCTGCAGGGGGCAGCATTACACATCACTTATAATGTAAATACTAGATACACTGTGAAACCCAAAGTGACTCAAAGTATAGCTGGATTTCTCTTCAACTACGAGCATTTTATATTTCAGAACTTCATTTTCATTACAAGTAATATGCTTTTTCTTTTTAATGTCCTGAAACAACATGCCTTCATTATTTTTGCTACCTTTCAAGCAACTTTTATGTATAAATGTTGTTTTACCCTTATCTTAGACTTTGAATCCTAAAACATGAGATACCATGATTAAAATATTAAAGTGCCCCTATTATGCCATTTCGAATATTGCCATTCATGCAGTGTGTAATGTAGCTGTATTTAAATGTAAATGATCTGCAAAGTTATAAAGCCAAAAGTGCACGATAAATAAAGTTATTGTCTCCCAAAAGAAAGAATCGACTCTGAACAGCCGAATCGATTCATCAGTAAACCGAATCCCACTTCTGTGACGGCTACATGTCACAGGGAAACATATTTGCATAATGCCCGCCTATGTTCTACGTTGGCCGGCTGCAAACAGCTTGACCCCACCCTCAAACACTTTAGTTTGTTCGTGTGGTAAACATCATGTCGAGAAGATGCTGTGAAAGTAAATTCATTCTTCCGAATGAAGAGGCTGCAAAGAATCAGTGGTTAAAATAATTTTTTTCCACTGTACCACAGCAGTACAACCCCAATCTTTTTTGTGCTCCTGTCATTTTACTGATGACTGCTTCTCTAATCTCGGGGACTTAAACGCAGAATTCATCAAACGCTTGCTCTTGAAAGATGGCTCAGTACACAGTTTATTTGGACCAGTTGGCTCCACTGAATCACAACCTGTAAGTATGATTAATAATTGATGATGTTTATATTTTCTATCAAGCATTCAAAATACAGAACTATGGCAATGGGCATATCGTTTCTGAAACACGCTGTATGCGGTAGACCAATCACAACAGACTGGGCCATCTGACCAATCAGAGCAAGAGTAGTCTCACGGAAAGGAGGGACTGAATCTTAGAACTGCTTCAAACTAATCGTTTGAGAATGGTTGGAAAATGAGGTGATATTAAATGCATATTTTGAGAAAATTAAAGCATTTTTTGACCTTGCATGCATGTAAACCTATTGTAAAAGACTCCCAAAACAATATTAAGAACCTTAAAAATGGCATAATAGGGGCACCTATCAAACATGCAAAAATTACCTGAGCTTCTCCAGGGTCCAGTAATGTGTGGCTCCATTTTTCTGATCTTGGACTTCTACAGCCACAATGGTGCAAGGGAATGGGCTTTTCTCGCGGTCTTTAGCTGTCTCAGGTGGTAACAGGTCAGGTGAAAGTGGAGAGTAAAGCGTGTCCGTCAATAACACAAACTGGAACTGAACCTGTGAGTGGCATTAGGCACAATCAATAATGATGTTGACATATTTTATAGGTTTAGCAGAGTGATGCAGTTCTTTCTGGTCTTTCTAAAGCGTTCACCTTCTTTTTTAGCTCCACGCTAATGGCATTGGCCTCCTTGAGGAAGATGGCATTGCCCCACAGCAGATCTCTGAGAGAAGTGAACTGATAACATCTCCATTTACGGAAAGCCCACAGCGCCAGTTCTGTCTCTCTCTCAGTCCATTGCACTATGAGTATAAGAGATTGAATACAAGAGGCACCGTTATTTAAACCGAGTCATTGTGATTAGTTCAAGCTGTTCAAAAAACAAAATTAACCATTATTTGCCATTCGCAGTCTAGTCACCTTCCTCCTGAGGTTCTTCATCTTCCTCTGCCACATCAGGGTAACAACGATTTACCTGTTTCTGCAGGGCTTCTAACCTGCTCTCATAGTCCTGTAAAAGACATACAGTATAGTGAAACATCAACAATAAAACAGTGTCATTTTATACTAAATTGTAAAGTTATGAGTTTAGGGGAAAAAAGTTTTATTTTAAGCTCTTTATGTTGTTTATGTCACTTACTAATCTCTGTTGCTCCAATAGATTGTTGGCCTCCTCTCTCTCTTTGCGATACTGATCCTCAAGTTCCTGCAGTCTATACAAACAAAGAGCTGATGAGTTTGACAACACAAATGTCACATCTTAAACTTATTTGAATGAATTTCCTTCATGTTTCTTTTACCTCTGATCCATTTCCTGTTTCATATCAATGCCCTGTTTCTCCAGGAGTTCTCTCTGAGCAAAGGCCCAGTCTACAGGCTCCATTGGCGTCTCAGCGCATGGGGTTCGTTCACGTTCCTGACGAGCCTGCTCTGGATGGTTGAAGCGGAACACATGGCTCTTGCCCAAAATGATTCGGTTCCCTAAAAAAGTTAGAGTCAATACAAATAAATAATAACAATAATAATTAAAAAAAACTTTACACAGACTGTTTAATTCTGCAAAGATATGCATAAAAGCATTTTGAAATGGCATACCAATTAAAAAAATTGATTTCAATGTTAGATTATGCAAATGTCACATTTAAAATATGAAATCACATATAAATTAATTTAAAAAAATGAAATCATAAGTAAACAAATTTAAAAAATGGAACCATGAATGATTTTAAAAAGTGAAATAATAAATAAATGAATTAAAAAATGAAATCATAAACATTAAATTTAAATAAAAAAAATTAATGAATTAAATAAAAGCTATATAATTGGAACCAATCCATAATGTTTTAAAAAAGTAACGTAGCAGGTGAGGGAAAAGTGTAAACAGACCTGATTTGAGAACTGTAGGCTCTGTTACTCTCTTCCCATTGACATATGTTTCTGCTCCCTCACACGGCTCAAGAATGACAGCTGTAAAAAACAGGAGGAACAGCCATAAGGATTGTGGCATATATGTGTACGAGTATGTGTGTCTGTGGAGTGCGCCATTAACTAACCTTCTCCCATAGGTCCAGTGGTGCTGGTGAAAGTGCAGTGTTCCTCTTTGATGAAGTGACCACTCAAAACAATGTCCTGTCTTCTGCTGGCATCTTCTCTCCCCACCCTGAGCACAGCAACATATCAAGACACCTTAGTACCAATTCTACTGAACAGAACAGATATGTGGGGTTTATATGCACAATGGAGAAAAAGAGAAGCTTGGATTGGCACTAACCTGGTAATTCCATCTTTGATGTAATACAGAAGACACTCAGACATTAAAGGATCTTCATTTAGATTCACCAGGTGGGGCGTCTGTAATCAAGGCACGAATCAACATTACAGGTTTTATATTTACTGAATGATATACCAGTGCTTGCGAGGCAGCAATTGAATAGTTTCAGGTAAGTTTAGGTTCTTGGCTTTGGTTCTGTGTTAATGCTAAACGCCACAGTAAGGTTGCACTGCTGTTGTCATTACAATGAGAAGGCGTCTTGTTTTCTGTCAGCTTTATACTAGAATCAATACCTTCACTCCACAGTCTAAATGTTACTATAAATGGACATAGTTGGAATGAAACAGAAACTCTGATCGTTTTTTTCCTCCCTATTGTGATGTATATCTGAGTAAATGGCTTCTTGAACAAGAGAAAAAGCTTTGCCTTTGTCCATTGGGAAGTGACTGGATTGTTTACTAATTGCTAAAATCTCATGTGACTGATCACAATTGGTAAGCATGACAATTCACAATTTAGTATACATTAAAATTACATTACATTTTCAAATGCCGAATATGCTGAAGTTGGAGATTTTCATTTTTTTTTACTTCTTAAAGTATGAATAATAGGGGCAAAAAAATGAAACAAAAGATGCAATTATCGACAGAAAAAGTTTCAATGAAGTCTATGCATTAAACAGTTCAGGCTCAATTATGTGCAGATGTTTAATACTTGGAATCAACAATTTAAATCAAATTCTAGCCAAAATGTTTGCAAAACATCTGTGTAGAGCTGCCTTGCGAGCACTTTCAAAATGTATTTAGACAACCTTTTAAAAGAGGAAAATAAGATAGAAGTCAAACAATTTTACTGACAGCCATCTTTACACCAAGTTTTAATTTCAATATCCATCAAAATGCATGCGATAAAATTTAGATATCACAAAATTGCATAAGATTCCAGACAGAAAGCCTTTAAAAGCATCATGGGGCCATGATGCTTTAGATCTGAAGTCTTCAAAGTGCTTCAAAGTTTATTATAAAGACTAGAAGGAATTGCAGCATATCAACATTCATATAATGAGCAACAGATCCCTCAATAAAGATCACAGACGCATTTAAAAGAGCTCTGATAGGAAAAAAACACAGAGGTACATTAGAACAGTCAAAGAGGAGCGATCAGGATGCAATCACACAGTATCCATGGCAACCAACCTCATTGGGAGAGAACAGCCCAACAGTGTCTATAAAAACGGGCTGAGGTTTTCTCTGCAAGGACTTCCAGAAGAGGAACGTAAAGACAAATCACAGGCTTATTTGGTTATTTGAGCAAGCATATTAGCCTTAATATGTGGTCTACCTGCACACGGTTTCTCCCTACAGCCTTTATAATTTTTTACCTTCTTTGGTGAAAAGACTCCAACAGTTCCTCCATCCTCACGCATGGCCACACCCATCTCAGCCAGCAGTGCTTCTCTGTAAAAACCAATTTAGGTGTTTTCCACACTTATACATAACGGAAAACTGCTTATCAATCACATAAGGATTCATACAACAAACCTGTCCATTCGGATGGCTTCTGTACGGCGAAGCTTCTCTTCCCAGGTTTCATTGAGCTCAGCAATAATTTTCTCCGTTTCCTAATTGGCATTGCAAACAACATCAAGTTAAAATACGCCACAAAGTCTATGGTAAGTTTTATGCATTTATTAATGTGAAACATATCTTTAGACAGCAAATGTCAATATAGTTTTTGGGGTTAATTATTCATTTCAATGGTAGGTGCTTGGTTGGTCTTTGCTAATAGGTGCTTATTTCTGCAACCTTTCTCTTTTGAACCAATTTCCAGATTGTGATCACATTCATATAATGAGCAACAGATCCCTCAATAAAGATCACAGACGCATTTAAAAGAGCTCTGATAGGAAAAAAACACAGAGGTACATTAGAACAGTCAAAGAGGAGCGATCAGGATGCAATCACACAGTATCCATGGCAACCAACCTCATTGGGAGAGAACAGCCCAACAGTGTCTATAAAAACGGGCTGAGGTTTTCTCTGCAAGGACTTCCAGAAGAGGAACGTAAAGACAAATCACAGGCTTATTTGGTTATTTGAGCAAGCATATTAGCCTTAATATGTGGTCTACCTGCACACGGTTTCTCCCTACAGCCTTTATAATTTTTTACCTTCTTTGGTGAAAAGACTCCAACAGTTCCTCCATCCTCACGCATGGCCACACCCATCTCAGCCAGCAGTGCTTCTCTGTAAAAACCAATTTAGGTGTTTTCCACATGTTAACTTATACATAACGGAAAACTGCTTATCAATCACATAAGGCTTCATACAACAAACCTGTCCATTCGGATGGCTTCTGTACGGCGAAGCTTCTCTTCCCAGGTTTCATTGAGCTCAGCAATAATTTTCTCCGTTTCCTAATTGGCATTGCAAACAATATCAAGTTAAAATACGCCACAAAGTCTATGGTAAGTTTTATGCATTTATTAATGTGAAACTTATATCTTTAGACAGCAAATGTCAATATAGTTTTTGGGGTTAATTATTCATTTCAATGGTAGGTGCTTGGTTGGTCTTTGCTAATAGGTGCTTATTTCTGCAACCTTTCTCTTTTGAACCAATTTCCAGATTGTGATCATACGGCTATTTTTTTATTTTTTTTTGCAGACTGAACATGTTCAATTGGGGTTTGTTGGGTCATGGAATATTTGAGAAGTGATATTCAGTGTTGCGTCTGCGTCAGTTGGTACACACCAGTAAATTAGCCTTCAAAGGTACAGTTATAAGCAGTGTTATTTTAGTATTATTTTTATGCTATCGTAGTATTTACTCATATTTTAAATGACCTTTTATTTTTATTTTGTTCATTTGATTTTCAATTAAAATTTTTGTAAATTTGTTGTTTTGTCATTTTTATTCGTTTTTTATGTCTATATAGCTTTATTTTATTTAAGTTTTAGTACTTTTAGTACATTTTTGTACTTCAACTTAAATATATTAAGTTGAATAATACATTTGAATAATATTTAGTTGAATAATAAATATGTTAGTTGCCAAGCCAACATTTCTAATTTTCATTTAAGTTAAAATGTTTAATTGAATATTTATATTTTATTTAAGCTTTATTTCAATTAACGAAAATGATTTTTAATAGTTTTAGTTAATAATAACACTGCTTGTAAGTACAGTACAGTAACTAAGGGGATAATTTTTTTTTCTTTTTTAAATAACGATATGACCCCTTTAATCTGAAGTTGTATAAGGCAAATGTTTGTCAGATGTCTATTTGAAGGATTTCAGTCAGTTTTGTCAGGGTTTCATGTTTTATGCCAGTCACCTTGAGTCTCTCAATGGCTTCCTCGCTCCCTGGGCTGAACAGGATGCGATCATGGAGGCTGCTGATGGAACCAGCTCGGCTGGACAGGGCGGAGAGAGATGGGGAGGGGCTCATCCCCGTCATAGCATTGGTCACTGTGGAGAGATCACCTCTTTGATTGACAGCTTGGCCACTATTGTTATTGTTCTTGTAATCGGATATGTCTGTCGGGGAAGGGGGAGAGAGGTGCAGGGGATGGGAAGAGGGGCAGGGGGTGACAGACACAGAGTTCAGAGAGAAGCAGACAGAAAAGGACGAGCAGTAGGAAGGAGAGGTAGAGAAAAGAAGACAGAGAAAGACATGCAGCTTGAAATGAATTTGAATTCAGAGACCCCGAAATTTCACATGTGAGGAGAAACGCCCAAGATACAAAGAAAGAGCAGACAGTCAAAGCCCAGTAAAGGGAACAAGAGGAAATAAAATAGGAGCTCTAGCGCAGGCACCCGGCAGCACAGAGACACGCCAGCCATCTCAAGCGCAAAGTAACACTGCGGGCTTCAGCTACAGCGTTACACACCAACCATCCAATGACAGCAACCTGAGAGCCACATATGAAATATTTAACAGGCATGCATGCATTGATCTGGGCTGTTATTTGACACCAGTTTCTTATATTTGTGAGTGTGTGTTGAGCAAACTGCTGTTAGTCCATTCAAGCAAGTAAATGGCAATCATTTCTTGTTCTTAAAAGAGTACTTCAGCTAAAATGGAAAATTCTGTCATGATTTACTCTCCCTCATCAAACATAATTATCTTTCTTCCTCACAATACAATAGACATAGTCAGCATCATATTCAATTTTTGACAGGAATGAAAACGAGGCTGTGAGGGGCAGAAGTACAATGTGTTTACTGAACAATGGATTGCACTGCTGTTTAAAAACATACAGATTGTTCAGCTGACAAAATGTCTTCACCCCCCCCATAAAATGTCTGTCCCTCAAAGCTTCGTTTTCAACAGACTATGTTGTATACAACATATAAAGAAAAAATGTTTCAGCTGTTAATACTATGAAAGCCAATGGCGCCCAAAATGTTCATGACCCAAAAATGACATAACGGTACTGTAGAATGAATCCAGTATATGATTCAGCTTGTATATTATAAGCCTTGTGAAGTGACACAATCACTTGATATGATATTAAGCCTTCATTTATTCAAATTAAAGCACTAGCTATGTTTCCATCCAAAGATGCAAATTTAACTTATGCGCAAACCTGGAATATCACATAAAACATTTGCGAATAAAGCACCGTTTCCATCCAACGAGTCAAAGAGAACAAAATCGTCACTTCCTGATAAACTGGCACTAAATGTCTCTAAGAAAACTAGGAGAAGCCACTGAATATAATAATTTTCATATGTAATAAATTACTTGCGCTTCAGAGAGAGCAGACGTAACACAATAAATGCGGTCATTGCTTTTAGAGGTGGATGTCTGCTGTTTGGGAACGCAGTCATGTAAGACAGTAAATATACAGAAATACTTTGATGACAGATTTTCCTCAGGCATTTCAGAACGACCAAAACAACATATAGATGCTGTGAACGAGATCGGTCCGCTGGTTAGTCAATTTATCGCAAAGTCACATGACTTTTCCAATGCGCGTAGTGAAATTTATTCGGTAAATGTGTTTCCATCGTAGTTTATGTGCATTTTTTCTTATCGGATAAAAAGTTTGTCCTACTCAGTTGTGCGCATACGTTTTTATGTGCATTTTTAGAATTTATGCGCATCTTGGCGTTTCCATACAGCGTTTTTTTTTTATGCGATAATCCAAAATGCGCATAAAAATAGGAGGATGGATACATAGCTACTGATTAACGTTGGCATACAAAGACTACATCAAATATGACAGCATGAACTTCAAACGTCAAGTAACGTCAAACTATATAAGTTCTCACGTCATGAGACCATTTGAGGTTTGTGTTGCCGTATAATTTTTATTTTTTTTTTATATGACGGGTGTATAAAGGCTTAAATTTCAGTTTGATCATTCAAGTGATCATGTCGCTTCGGAAAACTTTATATCAGTCAAATGAAGCTACCTTTATGCCAATTTGGGACCTTAAAACCCAACTGACTTTCATTATTTGGACAAAAACAGCTAAAACATTTTCAGAATATCTTCTTTTGTGTTGTGCAGAAGAAAGAAAGCCATATGAGTATGGAATGACATGAAGGTGAGTAAATGATGACAGAATTTTCATTTTTGGGTGAACTATCTCTAATATCACCAAAGGAGGTTTTTTTTTTATGTCCATAGGTTTGAGATTATCCTAAAATGATACCTAAAATACAGCTACAATATTGGTAAAATATACCTAAGAAGAAGTTATAGAGAAAATATGCATTACACAGACTTTTGTCTATATAAATGCTGTCTATAAGGAGAATGCCATGCTATTTTAGCGTATACTTTTTATGTCCCTCAGTATCCTTAACGGTATCTATTCCCATCCCATCTCTCATAATTAACATACATTTTATATAAGCAAATGTTGACTGTAGTACATTAGCAATGAGCTCATATTTCTGCTAAAAGCCAGTGACTCTCATTACTGTCATCACTAACCAGAGTGATCGTCATTGCTGACCACAGTAAAACCTCCATTACCAGCTCCATTATGCTCTCGTAATATCCATTTGACAATGAAACAACTTACAGCCTACATCTGAGTTACAAAGCAACATTCACGACTCTTGTGAGCTGCACACAGGAAATATCCTCCCACGTTTCTCATATTAAGAGACACTGTCAGCATTTCATATAATATCCACCTATCCAACCACAATATCATATATCTCTAGCTGAACTGTTATGCTAATACCATAAGAAATGTAATACGGGATATAACGGCTGAATAAACGTATATTCTACAGAGAGTTTGGCTTTGTAATTTCTCTGTAACCTTTGGCACAATAACATCCCTCATCTCTGACAGTGCTGCTATGGCAACAAAGCGCTTACTCGGTGCTACTACTCCTAAGAGAGTTACAAGGCAAGTATCTTGGGTAAAATGTGAGAAGACGTGTCCCCTGGTGACAAATGACTAAACACAAAACTAAGATGGAGACTGGGGATTCACATGCTATTTTATGCATATAGCAGCTGATATGAGAGGATTACATTAACTACACTAAAGAAAGGCACTTCTGGTAATGGTCTCTGCTTAAAGCAGTGCTCTGAGCCAGTGCATGCAAGCCTTGAGATTAACTAAGCTTTTTCTCCCCTCTCTACATCATTAATCTGTGTTTGAATAATGGCTGCATCAGGCACACAGCAAATGTGATCAAAGATGCACTAAACATATTTTTTACAACTGGCCAGTGATATATCTTCAAGTGCAAATAATCAACCTTGTTTTAGCACTAACTCACTAACTTCACACAACATTACTCAGACAATTTAAAAAAGTAACAGACAAAAGTAAAATAAAATATTAGATGCAAAATTTAAATTTAAATGAAAATTAGAAATGTTGCCTTGGCAACTAACTGAAATAAATATGTTTAAGTACTAAACGTACTAAGACTGAAATAAAAAATAATTAAAGCTATAAAGAATGATTGGTTCAAAAAACTAAAAATAAAATAAAAATGAGAAAATCGCATTAAAAAATCACTGAAACTTCAGCTAAAATGAAAAATATAACAATAAAAGCTAATTCAAAACATGAATAAATAATATAACAGTATATAAATAACACTAAAATAACATTGGTGCAAAAAATAATCTTTTTTTTTTTTATTCGCTGTAAGTAGCATCTACCTTCTCTTATACATGTAAATAGTTGCTGCCAATCTAAAAATTATTCTCTTGGTTTGGAAAACTGGGCATGATTGTATTCCATCATCACCTACTACCAAAACCCTGAGAAAAGAAATGTTATATCAAGTCCATTTCACATTTATTTTTTATTAAATAACTGATAAAAAGCACTGAATGTGGTAACATCTAAATTAACTGTAAGTCCAAATCATTTCACCTGACTAAATCAATTTATAACAAATTACGTACCCCAACAGAAGTTATTTTGAAATGCAGAAACTGTTCCTTGATGTAACAACTGCAGGTTTTTCAGTGACATGTTTAATAAGAAGTAAAGAGGCAAGAGCCATAACACAAATTCTCCCTACCTACCCTCATCATCATTAGCTTTAAAGGTGAGTTTTGTTAGGATATTAAGAAGCTTTAGGGTTTGATGTTTAGCTGTTAATAAAGCTGCAGCTAGCAACAGGCAGCCATTGCATAAAGCTTCAGAGAACACGAGCTGTCACTCAAACACACATCTGATATAAGCCCCTCCCACTGCAAAACACAAGCAGATATAAGCCTTCTCCCATGTCTTGGAGAATTGTAGTGCATATTAAACTGTAAGTATTAAACTGGGTACCATAAGTACCCAGACACAAGTCACACTTAAAAAATAATGAATTTCCTTGCATTAGAATACAAAATTTAGCACTACACATTGTAAAGAAAAGTAGCACACTGCACATGCAGATGCCACTTTGTTTGATACTTAGTTATCTAATAAAATGACATTTATACATTTGTAAGTGTGGATAAAATGTGCAGACAATTTTGGAAGGCCACTGATTTCAGCATTAAACCACAATTCTTAAGCATTACTACACCTGTTCATTCTCAATTAAGATGCACTAAGAGATTTTTGCCAAACGATGAGGATATTTGAAAGTACCAAAACAAACACACCCATACCCCAACAGGACCTCGCCCCTATTTTAATAACTCCGCCCCACACGTACGTACACAACTCTGGCAGCGACGATGGCGGAGTCTGCTATGCCTGTCGGACGCAGCATATCCAAGTAAAATTCCAACACAGAAAAGTTGTGTAAAAAAGCTAAATCAATGTAACTCACCTATTAAGAAGAAACAAAGCAACCTCAGCGTCTGATTTCAGGCCTTCCTGCTCCTTAAGTTCTCTCCACTGCTGGAAGCTGCTCCGATATTTATGCGGGTCCTACCTCTTGCCTGATTGTAACCCCTCCATTTTAATGTTTTGTTCCTCTGAAATTTTCCTTTTTTTTGCCATCTCTCGCTATCTTTAGTCGATCAGCTAATATCCATCCTGTGCACTCACTGAGCGCTCTCTTCTCCCTATTATTACTAGACACGCCCCTTGCTGCTGATTGGCTGCGAGTTTGTTTTGGGACTCGGTCCGACACTGTGGTCAAAAGCGTTTTTCAAAAATCGCTTAGTGCACCTTTAAATGAAACATATAGAAAATGCTGACAGTGTGAGGGCAACTGAAGAACATTACTAATATGACAGATAAGTGGATGAGTGAAATCAGTTAGTTCATAGGTGACACATAATATTTATCCTGCTCTGCATTGCAAGCCAAAAGAGAAAGATAACAAAGAAGAGGCGGTGAAAAAGAGAGAGGGAACAAACAGCCCTGCAGCACCAGACTAGATAAAGCAGCTTTCAGCTCAGAAACCACACTAGCAACCAGGGTTAGAAAAAAGCAACAACCAAATAATCAAAATATATCACCAAAATACCACCCCCAAAAATGGCATTTTGGTAACAATCATTTAGATTTTTAGAAGACTGTATTATGTTTGTCCATTACAAATGTAACTTTCCTAATATCTACATTATTTATAATAATACAAATATTAGATACAAAATAAATACCAAATACAGTAATGTTGTTATATAATTTTGTATATTATTTATATAATGTCAAATATATAATGGTATAATTGTTACTGGCAATTACAAAAGCTGGTTAATATATTTTACAATTTTACAACAAAATAGTTTGATAGCCTTAACAGACAAACATTTAAGGCTTTCATGGAATATGACATGAACATGGCTCTGATATGTTTTTTTGTATGATTGAGAGAGTATGAATTTTCTCTCAAACCCTTGAATTGACCCTGAGGCTGCAGAGATCTGCTTTATCCATAAAAACTGCAAAAGCATAGAAGAGAGAGTGAGAAAGCGCCCAAGAAACACACATTTCAAACCAGCAAAATCTTCAACTGGCCCCCGAAACGCTGAGAATGAGAAAGAAGAAACAAGAGTAAGAGGAATAAAAAATTTTTTATAAAAGATATCCAATTGAACAGAAAACAAGAGAAAGAGAGAGAGAAGAACGTGAGACGAATTGTTTGACATAAAAAGACTAAAAGCTAAGAGGAAATTCTGAATCTGAATTAGACGTTTGAAAGTCATTTGACACTGAATTGTACCAAACCCAGAGGGCTGGACTCCAGATCGTCTGTTCTAAGGCATTTCCCTGCTGGGATCACCATCGAGAGACGATAGGATGAGAAAATAAACAAGTGATTAGAAGAAATAGAGTTAGGAATGCACAGGGAAGAGTAGAGGACCCAGTGAATCAATGTGAGTTTTTTAAAGAGTGTACATGTGTGTGTGTGTGTGTGTGTGTGTGTGTGTGTGTGTGTGTATTTTTAACTATTAATACTTAATTTTAACCATCCATTATTATATATGCAACTCTCTTCCATCTCTTATAGAGACATAAGTGCTCCGATCCAAAACCTTGCAAGCGGTTTGCTGCCTACTACCTACATAGGCAGCTGCCTAATAAGGCAGCATTGACTGTTATGAAATATCAAGAGTGATCAATTTTGAATACTTTATGTTGACAGCAACTTCACGTGGTGCACAAGTAGTGCTCAACACTAATGTTAAAGTTTGATGTTAGCATGTTGATAAGCTAACAGTTCGATACTCTAATAAATATAACAATATATAGCAAGCACAAATATTAACAATTAAAAAAATAAAAATAACCATTGTAACACTGAATTCTTTCCATTGATGCTTTCAGTACCGAGTGAACTATAGCTAGCAAATATTTAATCAACATTTCTATTTTTCATCCACCATTTTGGATTCATTTTTTTCAGTGTTTCACCTCTACATGCAAACACGTTTCCTTAAAATATGGCCAAAATGAGCTTAGGAGACAGCCTACTTAAGTTGCCTACTTTTTTTGTACAGCTGTTGCCATCTGTGATGCCTTAAAAAAGCTCTGTCTCTGTTGGCAGCTTACTAGGATTTGGAACGGAACAATAAAACATATGCAGTAATGCATGTCTCAGTACCATAAAAACAAAAGTGGTCGCAAGCTGTCTGATGAAATATTTATGATGAAATGAAGGCAGAGCAGATAAAAAGCAAACGGTCTTACTCTCGATGATGTCACCCAGGCCCTGGGCATAGAGGAGGTCCTTCAGACGGGACACCTCATCTTTCAGCTCACGCACCAGACGGTTATTAGGATCTTCATTGATCACAGCATTACAACGGATCTGCTTAGCCCTGTCTGCATACCTGAATCACATGCAAAGTGGAAGGATGGTAAAGAAGAATAAACAAATGGTAATATACTGTATGTAAACATGTGTTTTAAAAATGCTGCTTTCTTATGGCTGTTGCATTAGATATATTCACATAGTATAATGAAAAAAAAAAAGATTTTTAGAGAGACTCTACTGCACACACACACACACACATACACTGACAGGTGCCCAATTACTTTGCTCAGCAGTATTACTGCACACCAGCATCTTTGAAGGGCATTTGGGAGGCAGGTGTGTTGAGAGAGAACAGGAACATTCTCATTATGTAACATACTGCGGTACCCGCCAGCTCATTAACTAGCTCATTACCAACCTCAGACAGAGAAAAATATGATAAAACTGGTGTTTTATTGAGGCAGAATACCTGAGAGTGCTGAGGGTTTCATCATAGTTGATGTCAGCAGGACTGAGAGCCGCCACCATTGCGGTGCGAGAGTTGCCACCTGCAAAGGTCAAAGGTCAAGTGTTTCAAGAGTGACAATACATTAAAATCCTGTTTCATGTGACAGAAAACTCTGATACATACCCAGGTTCTCTCTCAGTAGCCAGGTCAGTACAGAATCCCTGTAAGGAACAAAACTTTCTACTTTCTTCTTCTTTTTATTCTGTGTGGGAAAAAAATAAAATTATTAAATGAAAACATTTTGTTTATATTATATTATATGTGACCCTGGACCACAAAACCCATCATAAGGGTCAATTTCTCGAAATTTAGATTTATATATCATCTAAAAGCTGAATAAATAAGCTTTCCAATGTTATGTTATGTTATGTTATGTTATGTTATGTTATGTTATATTTTTGTTCAAACATTTGGGGTCAGTAAGCTTGTTTTTAAAAATAACTCTTATGCTCAACAAGGCTGCATTTATTTGATCTAAAATACAGTAAAAACAGTATTATAGTAAAATATTATTACAATTGTAAATACAATAAACATTTCTTATTATCAAACTTGCAAACAATTGTGCTGTTTAACATTTATTTATTTTATTTACTTAATTTCTTACCTACTTACATATTTATTTATTTATTGTGGAAAATGTCATACATTTTTTCCCAGGATGAATCTTTGATGAATAGAGATTAATATCAAAATTAATAATCAAAATTAATCAAGTTAAAATTAATTAATTACAATTTAATTAAGTTCAAAACAAACAGCAGCTTTTATTTGACAAAAATCTTTTTGTAACACTATAAATGTCTTTCCTGTCATGTTTGGTTATTGTAATGTGTCCTGAATAAAAGTATAAATTAAAAAAAATACTGACCCCAAATATTTGAACTATATTATATTATATTATATTATATTATATTTAGATAGATAGATAGATAGATAGATAGATAGATAGATAGATAGATAGATAGATAGATAGATAGATAGATAGATAGATAGATAGATAGATGAAGTGTTATACCTTGTTTGAGCCAGAATCCTGCAAAAATAAGTGATAAAATAAATTACAGGCAATTAAACTGACACACATAGAACTTTTTATGCAGAAAATAATAAATCATCCAACATCCTCAAGGCTCACGGCAAAACAAAACACTTACCACCTCAGCCAGAGCCGAAATGACTTTTCCCAGGGTTGTGAGTGATTTATTGATGTTTGCCCCTTCCTGGGAAGAAAAGATTAGGTAGAAAATAGAATTACAATTCCAAACTCAAAAAAAATATTCATGATAGAATGAAGCTGAGTACTGTCAAAATGCCAGCATGCTCTCTGAGCACTGATAGCTGGAAGTATGTGGAGACAATTAGAGGACAAACGGAGAAAGAGAGAGAGACATTTGTTGATGTTAGAAAAGATAGAAAACACAGAGGAGATATACTGATGTAGATACTGAGGGAGTTAAATAGAGGACATAAAAGGACAACAGACAATGGGGGATAAGAAGTGAACTTGGAAAGCTAAAGAAGTGAACTTGGAAAGCTAATATATATATATATATATATATATAGTCACCTTGAGCCGTGTGCCTTTGGCTCCAGTGGAATCAGCTCTCTCACTGCCGGCTAAATCCACCAGACTGATTTTGCTGACCTGCCAGAGAAGTTCAGGAGAGGTCAATAATGAACATGCTGAGAAATGGACGAGCCTATATCACCTTTCACATCAACAAACCTATAAAAAAAATCACAATGTCAAACGTCATCCAATAAAGCCCTGTATAAGGGTGGGAGACAAGTGGCCTAACCTCTTGCTCTAAACTGAGCTGTTTGTGACTGACAGGGTCCGTAATATGCAACAGCAGCATGTACCTTTTCTGAAGTGTTGTCTGTCTCCGAGTCATGACGCTTCTGGGTGAAGATGATGTTGAAGACAGCGTGTGAACGGCTGCTGGTCTCATTCATGTTAGTGGCAGCTACTGTCCTGGATTACAGAATTTCACCATTCAGAAATGTAATTCATATTGAGTTCTCAGACTCCAATCTATGTGAGGAAGTGCTGTGTATTTAGAGTTTTCTCAAGTCTCTTTAAATCATATCACAGCATTTGCACTAACTTCTACTTCTGTGAGTCATCTGATCCCTGATCCTGAACTGAAGTTTAACGATCAACAAAATGTTTTCCTGATGTATTTAGATCCAATCTCCAATGTACAGTACTGTTCAAATATTTGGGGGCAGTACAATTTTTGTTAAAAATACAGTCATTCAATAAGGATTAATTAAATTGATCAAAAGTGACAGTAAAGACTTTTCCTGTTACCGAAACGTTATTTCAAATCAATTCTTTTTTTAACTTTCTATATTCATCAGAAAATCCTGAAATCAAAATTTCCACAAAAATATTAAGTAGAAAAACTGTTTCAACCATTGATAATAAGAAATGTTCTTTTGTTACTTAACGCTGGAGTGATGGCTATTGAAAATTCTGTTTTGCCATCACAGGAATAGCCTAAATTACATTTTAAAACACATAGAAAGAAGAATGAAGAATGGAAAACATTTATTTTAAAATTGTAAGACTATTTTTACTGTATTTTTGATCACGATGTCTTAGAGAGCATATAAGACTTCTTTCAAAAACATATAAAAAAATCTTACCAACCCCAAACTTTTGTATGGTAGTTCATATTCATCAAATGCAGCTAAAATTCAATTCCAATAGGCCTCAGACTACACAGTACACTACACTGAAGAAATTTTAGACCTCCTCATTATTTATTCCATTAATTAGCTGCTGTCTGTTTTGCCAAACATCAACTTACATAACAGGCTAAATGTATAGTGTAGGAGGGAAGTGTAGTGTATTGGCAGGGGTGCAGCTCAACACCATAGAGTTCAGAGAACCGTTGACTGATGCTAACACAATGCCTCCTGGAATTAAATGGTCCATTTGTTTCCATGATGATAAGCCCGAATAATAAGTAAATATTTGTTTTTTTTTCTCTCAATGTGGCCATGAAGACCTTGAAAAAACAAATGTGACCAGGACTGTACTGAGGAGTGAGGCCACTGGTCTGTGCAGAAAAAGGCCATTATTGGTTATTTCTAGAAGCCAGAATAGAATAGAACAAGGAACAGTACAGAACACTTTCACATTGTGCCCGAATTACTGTAATTACAAAATAGCAGGTCCTCAGACTCAGAAATGATTTGTTTCTATGGCAACCCTCAAAATCTCCAAAAATCCATGTACGGCTTTTAGAAGACAGCATATAATTTAATGACTAAATTAAATCACCTCTATATGCTCTTGCTAAATGCTTAAGTATAAAGAGAATGCACCAGGCTATAGAATGTAAACTGGTTATAATAAAATGGCTTCTCGAACAGAATTAAAAAATGAGTTTAGGTCAGGTGACTATCTTTAGTTGTTTTTGTGGCAGAATCCATTTAGGCGTCATCATGACAGTCAAATCAGAGAATTTGGAACTTTCATTCAATTCTAAAAGTTTCCCCATTTATAATTATGTGTTCAACAAATACAGTACCATTAAAAAAAATTTGGTGGAAATTATGATACATTTTTTACAGGATTTTTTGATAATTAAAAAGTTCAAAAGAACAGTATTTATAAAAAAATATATATATATTATTTAATCAGTTTAAGGTGTCCTGGCTTAATAAAATATGAATGTCTTTTAAACAAAAATCTTACTGACCAAAACTTTTGAACAGTAATGTAAAATAGTTTTTAACTTTTGGAAAATTGTAATTACAGTCATACAGACATGATTTGAAAACGCCATAACAATAGAATAAAATAGAATAGAATAGAATACCTAGCCTTATTCCCTGAGTCCATCAGGTCTTGAATATCGTTATATGATGTGACAGCGAGTTTGGACAGATCCTCTACATACGGGCCCAGTAATGGGTGCTCTCGCACACGCAGATTTCCTTTGTTTTTTGGGTTCAGAAGATCTCGTACTCTTTCACAGTAAATCTCCATATAACTAACCTGAAAGGACGAAAATAATAGACTGTTAAAAGCAAAAAACACTCTACTTGAGCATTAAAACAAAAAAAATCATATACAAAATGTACAATGAAAACAATGTTGCTAAAGTGAAATTTTTTTTTACTATAGGTATTTTATCATAATAACTGTGATAACAGGGCCCAGATTCATCCAAAATTCCGTACATAAAGTTGCTTTACCTGAAAGGACGAAAATAATAGACTGTTAAAAGCAAAAAACACTCTACTTGAGCATTAAAACAAAAAAAAATCATATACAAAATGTACAATGAAAACAATGTTGCTAAAGTGAAATTTTTTTTTTACTATAGGTATTTTATCATAATAACTGTGATAACAGGGCCCAGATTCATCCAAAATTCCGTACATAAAGTTGCTTTGGAATTAAGCTGCTACACAAAGATTTGAAATAGAAAAAAAGGGCTTGGCCAAATCTTACCTCCACAGAATAGGACATGTTGTTATCAGTATTGTTGTCATTAATCTTGGTGAAAAGATCTTCACACAGCTGATGGTTAGGATGGAGGGGAGAAGAGGAAAGAGACAGACATAATAGAGAGTTTAATAAGTGAATGGTCATTTTCTTACTGTGTACTACTCAGCTTGGTGTTTGACATGTCATTTAATTCTGTTTGAATTGATCTTGTTCACATTGCCTCTGAATACATTATCACCTTCCTATTTATACAGCAATGCCAATGAGACAATATGTGCTTTAGATACACAAAAAGGCCACTTTTGCAGCTGACATTTAGAAATGCTTATTCTTCTTCATATTTGCTTATTCTTGCATCTTTTTTACCAGTGGAATGATCCCCTGCTGGTCCTTCTCTTGTTTGCCCATCATGGTATAAGATTTACCAGCCCCAGTCTGGCCGTATGCAAAAATACAGACGTTGTAGCCCTCAAATGCATGAAGTAACATTTCCTCTCCAATGTCTCTGTACACCTGCTGCTGGGAGGCATAGTTGATATCTTCTGGCTGTGGATAGATGAAGAGAAATATATGATCTTTGATCATTTGAAGGCATTACTTCTCTCATCTTTTAAATGCAACATGTTTAGTGTATTTCACTGCAAGTAATGCTGATTTTTCTAAGTTTCATTTCATTTTAATGTCTTTTTTGAAGTAGTTCTGACTTACTGAGGTGTGTGACCAGTAGGAGTAATCAAAATTGAAGCTTTTTGTTTCTTTGGGTGCTTTGGGGTTGATGATGGCTGAAAGACAAGAAAAAGAATGGCAGCGATTGAGTAAGGTTAATAAAATATGTTTGAGATCCTGAGTGGACATCTAATACTCAGCCACTAAGTGGCCACCACACAGTCAATAAGTGTTGAGTCACTGTAGTTTGTCTAAAAGGGGCCATGCGGATGTGCTCTAAAACCCAGCTGCTCTCACCAGCGGTAAATGAAAGTCATCACAGGGAGGCAGGAATCACACCAGACAGCAATTACATTAATTTGAATATGGTAATGGGTGTAAATGAAAATGACCTACTAAGCGGGCATCTTCACAGGAAGATTTGAGTCATCTGAACTTACATAGTCAAAGTAAATGCTATTTAGGGTGCATGAACTACTAATATAAAACAGACAGTTCTTTCTTAAACCATATATAATACAGTATAAAAGTTTGGGGGGGAAAATATTTTAATGTTTTTCATTTAAGTCTTTTAAGCACAAAAAACAGCAATATTGTGAAATTTTGTATTAGAGTTTAAAATAACTTTTCTATTTTAATATATTTTAACATGTAATTCATGTAATTGATGGCAAAGTTGAATTTTCAGCAGCCATACCTGCAGTCTTTAGTGTCACATGATTCTTTAAAAAATATTCTAATATGCTGATTTGATGCTCAAGAAACATTTCTTCTTATTATCAATGTTTAAAAGTGCTGCTTTTTTTTTTTGGAAACTGTCATTTGAACTGTAATTAGAAACTGTGTTTTCTGGGTTCAGAAGTTCAGAAGAACAGCATTTATTTGAAATAGAAAATATTTGTAACATTACAAATGCTCAGACAGTTCTTTCTTAAACCATATATAATACAGTATAAAAGTTTGGGGGGGAAAATATTTTAATGTTTTTCATTTAAGTCTTTTAAGCACAAAAAACAGCAATATTGTGAAATTTTGTATTAGAGTTTAAAATAACTTTTCTATTTTAATATATTTTAACATGTAATTCATGTAATTGATGGCAAAGTTGAATTTTCAGCAGCCATACCTGCAGTCTTTAGTGTCACATGATTCTTTAAAAAATATTCTAATATGCTGATTTGATGCTCAAGAAACATTTCTTCTTATTATCAATGTTTAAAAGTGCTGCTTTTTTTTGGAAACTGTCATTTGAACTGTAATTAGAAACTGTGTTTTCTGGGTTCAGAAGTTCAGAAGAACAGCATTTATTTGAAATAGAAAATATTTGTAACATTACAAATGCCTTTACTGTCACCTTTGATCAATGTAATGTGTCCTTTCATAAAATATATATATATAAGTATAAAAAATGACATGTATACTGTATACAGTAATCTGTAATTCAAACCTAAATTAAACCTGAACATTTTTGTTTTGAACAATTGAAATCATGCTAAAATGTTATTATGTAAAATTAATAAGATGTATTAAAAATTCTGAACTATTTCTAGCTCACTAATAAAACAAGCAAATTAATCACATTGATTAAGTGATCTTTGCACAAAATGTTACACGTTCTTGCTTCCACAGATGCACAAGATGCTCTGTGGAACATCCCAAATCATGCTAAATATCTCTCTGGACATTAATTCATAATACAGTAGAAGTGAATAAAATAAAGTTGGAGATGGGGACACATACTGGAAGTATTGTCACAGGAACGAGGTGAGCAGCCCTGTAAATACTGTGTTGTGATTGACAGGATCAAATGAACTCGCTCCTCCTGAACTTTCCTTTAAAAGCCAATTTTACCAACAGAGAGGTTTCTTTGCACCATACTCCACAAAAAGCATAAACATACAGTATGCAATTAATTAACACAGATAAAATAATACTCTGCACTTGAGAAAACTAGAACTATTCCACTAAAAATCTGCATAAAATGAATGCACAGCCATTGTGTAAGAAAAATGCATTGTGAAAAACTCATCAACTCTGCATCATGGAGGAAACAATTTAAATGGACTTGGGTCGTGTGAAAACATGAAGGACAATTGTACAATTTTCATCTACTTACAGAGCAATAAGCAGTCACTGAAATCATGTACCTGCATTTAAACTGTCTTTATAGTCACTTCCTGATCCTTATTAGTAGCTCAGAACATCATTAACGGAACGTCTTCCGTCAGTCTTACTCACAGCCAGCCCACACGAAACCACAGACACTGCAGTCAGGAGTCTGACAGGCAGCATGAGCTCTGACAGAACATACTGGTGGGATGTGCAAGACCCAAAGCCAAAACCGCATAAAAATAGCCCTTTAAGTAAACTGTTTTAAATATTCTTAATCAACCATGAAGCAAAAAGCCACAATAGCCATGAAAAGGACATTTGAAGTACACATATTTTCAGTACATGGTTGAGCAACCATTACTGGACTGAGAAATTTAATTTAGTCAACCAGTGATGAGGAAAGCTTTTCTGAACACACACACACACACACACACACAGGGCATTTTCACATACATTACTAACACAAACAGACAACAAAAAGCAATAAGATAAATGTGATGAATTAATTTTCCTCCAACCCACACAGCATGTTCTGATCTCAAAAAGGTGATTCAAGAATGACCTTCAGAGAGTCAATAGGTCGTAAAGGATTTTCTGCACTAAGCAAACACTTATCTTGGTTCTGCAGGGAAACTTTTTTTACATAGCTCATTGATCTATGTTTTTCATTTAATACACAATGCAATGTGCATGAAACTTTTTTTTACATAGTTCTTTGATCTATGTTTTTCATTTAATACACAATGCAATATGATCTAAATGGGGAATTGTCTAAAGTGATCACAATAAGCTCAAAATCCTACACTATTTAAAAAAACACTGTAATATGTATATATACATATATGTTTTTCTTTGTGTGTGACATTGCTGCTGCATAAACGGCTCATTTAGCCTTATTAACAATTCCATAATTGAGCTCTTTGGCTGTTAAATGATTGGTTAACCCAAAAAATGACAATTGTCTTTTACTCACCCTCATGTTGTTACAAATTAAAACATTTACTCAGATAAAACACTTCAACTCACTGACCTAACGATCCATTTGCAACTGTTAACAACTTACTGAAGAGGAAGATTATCTGTGAATGATTTCGATTTCAGTTGCAAATTGAGAAAAGTTATGTGCACTGTTATGATACTTTGCCGCTACTCACTGTGTGAAAAATGTGACCATACCTGTACTGGAAAATTTCTGCTTTTGTTGTTGACAGAAGAAAGTAAGTCATATGGGTTTGGAACGGGAGTAAATGGTGACAGAAAAACAAATGAATTGATTTAAAACAAATTTCATGTAAACAAATGGATTTATTGTCTCCAAAAGGCAAGCTTGCAGGATACTATTTTGTTTTTTAATAATGCAGGACTATTTCAATTCTAAATGCTGTGAAATATGTGATTTGATCACTTAAAATAATTAAATCAGTATTTAATTTTAATACTGACTCTTAGTGCCAGTAGCCCAGCTATCTCAAAAGAAAAGGTTTCTGAACTTCATAAATGCAGCACCACAGTTTCAGATACAACATAAAACATATTTATGACTCTTTCTCTTCCTCTCTTTCACACACACACACACACACACACACACACACACACACAGAGCTGCCAAGTAACAGAAGGACATCATGTCATTGCATAATCCCTCATGTAAATCCCTGTTCTACTTTTCATCTATATCATTCAAGCAAAGCTAATGCCATGGGGAAAAAAATCTATTCATCTGTTAACTAAAGCATGCATAGTACAACTGACCTCCAAAAATTATAAAATCTACTAATGTCCTCTAAAAACAGCTTCAAATATTATTAACCAATTATTTGGTTTTCTCATTCAACTCTCATATACTGTAGCTCCAGTTGGAACCATCAAAGCACACTTTGAGCATGTGAATTTGAACGTCACATACATTAAGCAACATCCTGCGGCCATGTTATACAACACAGGTAGCACAATTCTAAATGGCCAACCATACTTAAGGAGTTGGAGTGAAATCTTTTACCCAGTCTATACATCTGTGTTTAACTGTCACTAGGGAAGTTCAGTACTGGCTGTACATCAGAGTATGTGAGTTATAATAATAGCACCTCATAACCCAGGGGACATCATGCGTCATCGGTATAGAAGCACTGCCATGATATATCTACTCTTGGTGCAAGTTGCAAAATTGTATTTGTGTGTGTGTGTGCCAAATAGTCAGCCAGCTGATGGAGGAGGAATGCTTTAAAAAGGGAACAAGATGTTTCTCTGCACCTGTTACATTTAAAAACAAATTACTGAAATTAATAATTAATTTTAAAATAGATGTCAAATTAAAATAAGTTTGCTAACTTATTAGAAGTACATTTCTATATTTAATATTTACTATAGAAAAGAAACTGACAAATGCATTGTGTACTTTAATACATTTTGATAGGTTTAATAGGTTTGGATTCCTATTATATACTGTATATATATATATATATATATATATATATATATATATATATATATATATATATATATATATATATATATATATACACATATGACTGGGGAGAGAGGTGTTGTAATAATGTAAAATATGTAAAAAATAATGTGTTTTTCGAACAACCTAGTATGAGAGCCTGTACTAGTACACCCCCAAAACAACATCAAGACTGTGTAAAAGAGCATAATAGGACCCCTTTAACACATATGAACGCATACTTTATAAAATGATCATGCTGCTATTTTCATTTGAAATTTGTATATTTAATATAAAACATATTACAGTGCTTGTGGCATTCCATACAGTCATTCACAGAACTGATTAAAGAAATGAAAAGTCAATTCACTAATTTTAACTAAATATCAGAGTGACTGACAGAGATACAGTAGAAACATTATGTGTGGTTTTGTATTAAATATTGTTTTGTATTAAATAATGACCCAGATCGTGAAATACATTTATTTGCCTTAGAGTAAGGGAAGCACAACTCGGCAAATGAGAGCAAGTATATTTATTTTTTATATTTTTTATGTTTTT